AGGCTTAACTAGAAAAGGATCTGCCCTTCACATAGGAGTCTCAATAGAACAATGCAACCTGGAGCTATATTTAGCCTCAGTTGATGCATTTAGTTGGATTCCAGTAAATTGCTAAATAGCAGTTTCAAATTATTTCATTCACTGATGTGGAAGGTTCATAAATGTAGGCAATCCTTCAGTTAGCTAGTTCTATGGGAAGACCATCCATCCAGGTGGAACCAGGGACAAGAATCTTTAAACTGGCCCGCTTCTTTAACACCTCCTACGGACATCCCCCTAAACAGGAACTTGGGAGGTTATGAATATCTGACAATCTTTCCTGGGTAAAAAAAATTATATACTGTGCTGTAGAAAATAATCATCTGGGTACAGGTTCAGCTAAAAGCATTTAGATATCAAGGTAAAAGTTGACACCTGGGTCTTCACATGGTCTGTTCACTGGTTTTGTGCCTTGGGCTTTGCATTTCCCTAATCGTCTGACCTCTTGATTTCAGGTTTATGTTGGCGGTAATGAGTTTGTTCATGTGAAGGTCCACAAAGATATCGAGAAGAACGTCCACCTTATCTGTTATGTGAGTGGGAAGACTGGAAGTGCTCCAATCATGTACTTCTGAGATCCAGACCCGTCCTTCCTGTGAAGTGGGAGAATACTGTACATAGGCATCCCGATGGCCTTGATTCCTAGTCTATCGTGATCATAACACTTTATATTAATAAACTATCATTTTAACCATTTTACGTTGTCATTACTACAGGTTGAACTATCAATATTTTGTTGTGTAAGATGGAACTGCTAGAGGTGGCATCTGATTGGATAATTAATAGGGATGTGGAGTGTGTCTGGGGGGAAATACTACTTAGGGTGAGATTTACCTGGAGTGTGTTCTTAGTGACCTCAAAACTGTAAATGCTTTAAGGATCACTATAGGGTCAGGAACACAAACATGTACTCCTGACCTATAGTGAAAACCCACCATTTTGGTGGCTGGCCCCCCCCTTTAGGCCCCCTATAAAAGTTTAAAACTCCCCTTATTCCCAGTGCCGCACTGGCTCCACCCCCTTTGTGACATCATCAAAATAGCTGATTTCTTGCCAATCTGCTTTCCCATAGGGATTGGCTAAAATCAGCAAGGGGCAGGGCCAAATGTCATTTTGGCCAGTCAGGACCTCCTCATAGAGCTGCATTGAATCAATGCATCTCTGAGGAAAATTTAGTGTGTCCATGCAGAGCGTGTGGACGCTGAAAGGCAGGACTGCTTACTGTGCAGTACTGAGCCAGGAAGCACCTCCAGTGGCCATCTGAGCAGTGGCCACTTTGAGGTGTCCCTAGACTAAACACAGTCTTCTCTGAAAAGGCAGTGTTTATATGAAAATGCCTGAAGGCAACAATTATACTCACCAGAACTACATTAAGCTGTAGTTGTTCTGGTGACTATAGTGTCCCTTTAACCATTGGTAAGTGTCATGGTAGGGTAATACAACAAATGTCCAGGAGCTATTTTGCTTACATATTACTGTGGGTGCAAATTATCAAGCACTTAGCTGGCACCACACAGGGCTTACTATAGGTCTATGGTGACCACTATCAAAGAACAGCCAAAGTCCAGTCACCAAACCGCTTACTTAAATTTTAACTTTGTAACTTTTTTTTTTTGCCTTCCACTTCCCCACTGTCATTCCTGCCATAGACCCAATTCAAGATGTCTGTTTGATAGTTAACCTGTCACCGAGTAGTCTACGAACACCTGCCATTCACTCAGTGATTGGTTGTGGGAATTGTCAGGAATTCAGTGATCTGTTTCACTTTCTGCACACCCTGGACACGACCGTATTATCAAATAGTTTTCTTTACAATAAATTCAAATTTTTATGGAAATTTCAATCCTCTTTGGAACTTTTACACTTTTTTTTTTTTGTGATTTCTTAATCACTTTTCAGAATGCTTTGGTAAATTGTCCCCAGTCTCAATAGTTACATTATGGAATTAGAGACCAACTGGACACAAACTAAAATACGGTCGTCTCCTCTAATATATTTATTTTTATGTAACACTCTAGAGCCATACATATAGCTTGGATAAATGTTTGTAAACCGTTGGAGGTACTCACTAAAGTGGGAATTAGAAAATTAAGGCCAAAGTAATCAAACAAAGGATATCTGACTTGGAGAATTATTTTGTTTATTTTGGCCTTCAATTTGATTTTCTGTCTAGTAAATAACCCTATTGGTCTTTATGGGTTTTCTCTGCTTCACTACCTGTACAGACGCAAGGCAGACCACAGGCCAGGCTTCTCCAAACTCTGGCCCTTCAGATGTTGCTGAACTACAAATCCCATGATTCTTTGAATGACCTAGCTAACCAGAGAATCATGGGAGTTGTAGTTCAGCAGCATCTGGAGGGCCGGAGTTTGGAGAACCCTGCCATAGACTTTGTTTTAAAACACTGTTCCACCAAAGATGCTCTTAACATACGCTATTGTAGACTAGTGATGGTAAATGTGTACATTCAGATTTTAAAATCACCACCTAATTCTAGAATTTATTTGGACAGTATTGATTTTTGATGGTGATGACAAATGGTGTAGGTGGAGTGAAATTTGTCTCTGGGTTTTTGGACAGATGTTGTTCATGGAAAATTATTCAGCCAAACAAAAGACACTAACCTTTTCCACTCGATGTCCTACAAAATGTATACAAAACCTAGATAGATATTGCTCTACACTGTACCATTTGATTTGTTTTCTTCACAGATAAAGTGATAAAACTTAACAAGGCAAAAAAGGAGCAGTGGTTAAAAATAATCTATATCCATTTAATAAATACTATTTTATTTTGCTTCCCCCAACCCCATTGGTCACTTTTACTGAATATGTAAATGAAATGGACATTTAATGCATATCCCCTTGTAATGGAGCTCCCTGAACCCCGGCTGGGTACCTCCACCAAGGACCTTCCTAGCTGGAACAGGGGACAAACCGCAGCCCTTCTGCCCACAGTCTCCGTGGCTGGACTGGAATCCTCCTGGAACGATTCCTTCCTTGAGCCGAATGGGGAATTGGCTCTAGTCCTTACAAGGACTTTCCCCGTTGAATCCCCTGCAAGCTGGAACAGCAGACACAGGAGTAAATCTTCTTTCCCTCCAACAACAGGACGACACACAGTTTTGAAGTGTAAGCTGGAATAGATTTTAATGGAGCCACACTTGGCCTTGTATGACAATCCCCATGCATTGGGTACGCCCACATGGACCTTGTTGGGCACAGGGACACAAACTTACAAACCAATAATAACATTTACAATGTAAAGCACTCCGACACAGGACACACAATCCCTCCCCTCTGCCTGGGAGATAATTGGATCAGTAACTGTACTAATTCTAATCCGATTATCTCCAAGCACAGAAAAAACATATTTCTAAAAAGCCCCAAAAGTACCCCAAAACACATGATATCCCTACAAATGTTACATTCCCTGATAGCCCTGTTTGGGTGACCAACATATCCTAAAATCACCCAGATCATTTAAGGGATTCAGAAATTCTATGGGAGTCATACTTTTGACTGACCATGCACATGGTCCTATGCCCAAAACAGTTCCATGAAATCAGTGCTAACAGTCGGTCAAATTTGGTAGTCTTTTACAGGTTTCCCTGCAGGGCCCATAGTCAGTGGGCAGGAGGCTGGCAAGTAGGCTTCTCCAGGACCTCGTGGCAAACTCAGGTAAAACGGGGAGTTTGTCACACCCCTCACCATCATTTTCACCATTCATTTTCTTACTTTGGCTCCATGGGCAAAGTTCTGAGTTACAAAACTGTCAGTTTTGGTAGTTCAATGATACTTCCATATGGATTTTGTATGCTCATCATCCAAAATTGTGATGCATTATGTTTTTGTTATTCTTAAATGGTTTAATTCTAAATGACTATCCAGAAATCCTTCCCCTCTGTGCTGCCTAAGGAGGAAGTATTCTCCTCAGCAGCAATTGGGGCCTAATATCAGCTGGCTGCCTATAGCTCATCACAGCCACCATGGCTGGAAGGAAGTGTGTAATCTCAACCATCATTCATTGTTAAATTGCTTGAAAATTATTTATCACTGAATGGAGGGACAATGACACACACGGGGGGGGCGGGGGGAGACACAAAAGAATTCAGAGAGAAAGAGACATAAAGTTGGCAATTTTTGTTTGGGGGGGTAAGGGGAGGGAGGTGCAAGTAGCTGGTCTCGTCTAGGGTGTCAAATAGTCTAGCAATGGCCCTGCAAGGAGTTAAACTGGTTTGATCTGATGACTGAATGGAATCGCCTATAATGTGCCAGAAATGGCTAATTAACTATCCATACTCTTATCAATTGTTTATTAAATACACCCACATACACAGAAATATACATATCACACCCATTGTACATTGCTGCTGTGTATGTTAGTGCTCTATATAAAATAACATTTACAGAAAAACCACATTATATTATATTACATTCCTCCACGAGGGAACGTTCTCTAACAGGACCCTGCAAGTAGGGGACCGCCTGGGAGGCTGTTTGTCAATGTGGTGTGTTTAACCACTTAAGGACCAAACTTCTGGAATAAAAGGGAATCATGACATGTCACACGTCGTGCGTCCTTAAGGGGTTAATGGATGAGGATGCCCACTTTCCCGGTGGGTTCTGCCCATTGTGGGTGTCGCCACAGTTGGATCATTGTTGATGCTCACTAGAAGCCCCGTCCACCAGTCCTGGTTACATACAAAGTGTTGGGGGTATGGATCAGTTATTTCAGTATTTACAGTTAAATAAATCAATATTTTCTATACATAAATAACGTAAAGTTCCGTATTACCAGGCTGGCTGAGGGTTATAGGGTCTGCATCTCTCAGAGCCTGCTGTAGATTTAATCATTCATTAGTATCTCCTGTTTCAATCAGTTCCTTCCAATAGAGAGAGGTCAGCTGTTCAAATCAGGTTATTTAAATCACAGCTCAGGGAGGCAGAGAGATAGATCTGGTCACAACTACAGGAGGGGAGTAAGTAACCGGTCTTAGAATGGAAAAGAACTGTGATTTAAAAAGTATACACCGGTAGTTCCTGTAACTGAATGTATGCTTCAAGGGTCACCCATTATATTTAGAGTAAAGTAAAATCTTCAGCTGGATTTCAGAGAATAAACTCCCTTTGCAGGGATGAAAAATACAAATGATCGACTTGTAATAAATACTTGGAGGAAATATTCAACTTCCCAGAGGTTGTCCTGAAATCACTAATGAGGGCTAGAAAACACAAATCTTGCAGTGAAACACTTTATTTTTATTCTAAATGTTTAGTCCAGTTTGCGATTTTTGTGTGGGGGGGTGTGTGTGTCTTTTTTTTTTTTTTTCTTCTTATCAGAAAGCTGGTTCTGCTACTTCCTGGCTTGTTTAGCTCAATGGAGATAAAGTAGAGCAGAGCACCTGCCTTGCAAAGTCTTCTCATTGAACTGCATTGGGAAGTCTGTGATTGGACGGCCACAGAAAGTCTGGTTGGGGTTAGAAGGGGAGGGCTTGTAAAGGCTGCAGACGAGATCTGCAGCTTCTGTCAGTGGTCTTCAGACAAACCCGTCCCCCTCTAACTTAAAAAATGCATAACTTTAGTTACAAGTGTGCATTTCTTTCAAAGTGGGCATGTCTCCTAAATGGTGATATTTATTTGTGCACCAAAACTGTCCTTTTTTAAGAACATTCTAGTCAAGTAGCTAAAATGTGGTGTGTGAGAGTTTTTTTTGGGGGGGATTTTTATTTTATCGAAGTTCACATTAAGGCATGTGATGCTAATGTTGGAATATGAAGCTTAACATCTGTCTTTTGCATATATCCTTTAAGCCCCATAAACCGTCATTTCTAGAAGTAAGAACTATTTTAGATTGTAAGCTCATTTGGGCAAACCCTTTTTCACCTACTGTTCCATATGCCAAACCAGTTCAGCTAGAATTGTTGGTCTTGTTCTACCTATTGTACAGCGCTGTGGAATATGTTGTTGCTATACAAATAATTGAAAACTAAGTGAAATTGCTTGTCCCGGTGCTTTAAATCTTGTGATGTCTGTTAATGCTGGTACATGTTATATTTTGCAGTTCTTGCCCAACTGAGTTTGAAGGCTTGGATCCCTTCCTTTACGCTTTCTAAGCTCCCCTGCTTTTCGTTCTGGTGAAATCGCTGTGTAATCAACACCCTATGGCTCACAGCCGGTGCAATCATGGAGGCTTGAGTTGTGTGCAGCAGGCAGACGGTATAATCCAAAAATTGTGTTATCATGTAAGAAGTCTAGGTGTTTTGAAAATCTGTGCAAGAAAGTGCTTGTCACATAATTGGGTTTGTTCAATAAAGACGGGACGTCAGCAGTCTTAGCATCTCCTATTCACTAATGGCAAATTCAGCTATAATTTGGTCAGGCTGACCGACCCAGCACAGATAATGTCAGTATTGTATTAGTGTATTTATCAGGCACCGAATGTCCTTCAAATTCACTCTGAACAAATCTGGTACCATCCTCCTTCACCAACTTCCAAGTGAAAAATCGAAATCTGCAATATTTAATCACTGATGGCACAAACAAATTCTAAAGTAATGGATTTTTAGATATAATCTGCATTTATAACCTTGTACTTGACCTTTCTATGGAGTTAACGTTTCTGCGCAGTATTTGCTTTTAAGATGTTGCTAATAACAGTAATATATTGCCTTGTACTAGAATTGACTCAGATCTGTCTGTAATTCTCTTTAAACCAAACTGTGTAAATGCAATTCAACTTCATTTTCAGATAGATTGGGGGCCCAAGTCTGTAGGATTTGGTTGTGTATATCTGTAATTCGGTCTCGTATTTACAGCTTCTGGCTGGCTTTGCATTCAGATTATCCTGTTAACTTGAAAGATGGCTTGCTCAACTCATTTGGCTCTTACTGCCTAAACCCCAATGTATATAACATTGCGTAACCCTCTCCCTCGGTATGGTGGGTTGTTTGTTTTTTGGGGGGTCTGGAGGGGCACGAACCCTGTGTCTCTGCCATCATATCACCCATATAATATTCCTGTAATCTATTTTTAATGGACTCATAAAAGCTAAATATTAGACCTCACAATACTGGAATAGGAAAACCGTCTGCAATCAGAGAGCAGGATTTCTTTTTAGTAGAATCCATGGCTTTTTCATTAGTCTGATAACTAACCAGATCCCAGTCTAATGCTGTCTCTTTGGCCAGGTGCAGTCACAGGTTGAAACACAAACTGGAAGACAATTTGAGCTGTTCTGTGCCGTCGAGTACGCATCACAGGTGGTGGCTGGAGTCAACTTGTTTATTAAGGTATGAAACACAGGAAACTGGAAATAACACGAACACCTTAATGGCTGATCCCACTGCATATTACTTTGTGGCTCGTGCAATAAGCATGTGAAAATTGCCAGGTTTTTATAGAATTGCTCCAACAAATATCACCAGACTGGATTTAAGTAGTGTGAATTGTCCATAGAACCAGCTGTTAAACTGCCACTGTGATGTTTTGTAGAAATTGGTCAATAATTCCTGTATAACGAAGTACTCACTTTATTGATACATAAATAACAGCATCTTCTTCATATTGCTACCTTGTTACACAGGGTTTCCGCAGCCGCCCATTCAAATCCCTCAAACATTCCACCAACTGCCCATACATCACAATACATACTCATACACTCATACACTTACACACACACACACAGTCCATACATCACATCTCCTTTCTTTCTCAACGACAGAAAATAAAACAAAATAGTTAAAACCAGCTGTTAAACTGCACTGTTTTACCTGACAAACGGAATGTTGAGCTAATTTGTAAACTCATTCTGTTTGTGTGGTGTGTGTGTGTGTGTGGGTTTCTATTTTATTTTTAATTTTAGGTTTACGTAGGACAAGAGGAATTTCTTCATCTTAGGATATATGATCGTGTGACGGGGCCGATCAGCCTTACCAGTTTCCAAACTGGAAAAGTTGGAACTGACCCCATCTCTTACTTCTAAAACTACAGACCCTGTGCTGGAGAATCATGGAGCAACTCTGTCTGTTCTCGTCAAACGTCTTGTAACGTCCCTTTTAATGTTCCTGCATATTATATGATCTCGTTATAATAAAATCAATAAAACAAAGACACCTCTCCATTGGTCGTAGTGGTTACTGATGTAAGGAATCATATTAACAAATCTACACTCCCCCAAAAAATAAAGGGAACACTTAAACAACACAATGTAACTCCAAGTCAATCACACTTCTGTGAAATCAAACTGTCCACTTAGGAAGCAACACTGAGTGACAATCAATTTCACATGCTGTTGTGCAAATGGCATAGACAACAGGTGGAAATTATAGGCAATTAGCAAGACACCCCCAATAAAGGAGTGGTTCTGCAGGTGGTGACCACAGACCACATCTCAGTTCCTATGTTTTGGTCACTATTGAATGCTGGCTGTGCTAGCATGAGACGGAGTCTACAACCCATGGTGGGTGGGGGTTGTGCTTACAGCCAAACACCGTGCAGGACATTTGGCATTTGCCAGAGAGCACCAAGATTGGCAAATTCGCCACTGGCGCCCTGTGCTCAGATGAAAGCAGGTTCACGCTGAGCACATGTGACAATCTGGATACGCCGTGGAGAACGTCCTGCTGCATGCAACATCCTCCAGCATGACCGGTTTGACAGTGGGTCAGTAATGGTGTGGGGTGGCATTTCTTTGGAGGGCCACACAGCCCTCAATGTGCTTGCCAGAGATAGCCTGACTGCCATTAGGTACCGAGATGAGATCCTCAGACCCCTTGTGAGACCATATGCTGTTGCGGTTGGCCCTGGGTTCCTCCTAATGCAAGACAATGCTAGACCTCGTGGCTGGAGTGTCAGCAGTTCCTGCAAGACAAAGGCATTGATGCAATGGACTGGCCCGCCCGTTCCCCAGACCTGAATCCAATTGAGCACATCTGGGACATCATGTCTCGCTCCATCCACCAACGTCACATTGTACCACAGACTGTCCAGGAGTTGGCAGATGGTTTAGTCCAGGTCTAGGAGGAGATCCCTCAAGAGACCATCCGCCACCTCATCAGGAGCATGCACAGGCGTTGTAGGGAGGTCATACAGGCACGTGGAGGCCACATACACTACTGAGCCTCATTTTGATTTGTTTTAAGGACATTACATCAAAGTTGGATCAGCCTGTAGTGTGTTTTTCCACTTTAATTTTGAGTGTGACTCCAAATCCAGACCTCCCATGGGTCGAAAATGTGATTTCCATGTTTTAATTTTTGTGTGATTTTGTTGTCAGCACATTCAACTATGTAAAGAACAAAGTATTTCAGAAGAATATTTAATTCAGATCTAGGATGTGTTATTTTTGTGTTCTCTATTTTTTTGAGCAGTGTCTATAACTACAGGGTCGTCCGCTAAGGGGTTTAATATTGGCAATAATTAGTCTGTATCTGTTTGTCTGAATTCAATTCCTTTTTAATCAAAAGGCGCTCTTTCCCTAATAAATGGTGGCATATACATTAAAGGGACACTATAGTCCCCATAATAACTTTAGCTTAATGAAGCAGTTTTGGTGTATAGATCATGCCCCTGCAGTCTCACTGCTCAATTCACTGCCATTTAGGAGTTAAATGACTTTGTTTATATAGCGTTCATCACACCTCCCTGCATATGACTTACACAGCCTCCCTAAAGACTTCCTGTAAAGAACCATGTAATGTTTACACTTCCTTTATTATAAACTCTGTTTAGTTTATAATGTATCTGCTGCTCTGTTAATAGCTTGCTAGACCCTGCAGAATACTCATTAAGTAATAAAAGTACAATTTACAGAACAGGAGAGAAATTTTTTAAAGTAAGCTACGTGTGACTCGCATAGCCTGCATGAGAATTAAACCATTTTGTTTTCATGCCGGCTAAGTGAGGCACATGGGAGGTGTGACAAGGGCTGCATAAACAGAAATAAAAGTGATTTAACTCCTAAATGTCGGTGAGACTGCAGGGGCATATTCTATACACCAAAACTACTTCATTAAGCTAAAGTTGTTTTGGTGACTATAGTGTCCATTTAATGCTTCGTATCGTTCTCACATTCTTACACATTAACTAAATTTCTTCTTTTTTAGGCCCATCCAGCCTCCTTGCCTTTTATGAGAGCCCTGTCTGGGGTCCAGTGGGGAATGGATCTTCCATTTCCTCTCTGCTCCCTCACGCACCCTCTGGCGTGATCTCATATTCCAGCTCTCTGCACCTCTACAGAGGGAGAGAAACCCATCAGTGCTCCCTCGCTGCCTGCCTCCTTCTCCCTACCCGGGCCCAGTATATATCGTCAGAGTAGGCACCTGCCAAGTGGCTGATTTGGGGGTTTCCTAACCCCTGGGTCCCCTCACCAGATAAGACTTTGCGCCAAAGTGAAAAAATTGACTGTATGCTGTTGCACACTGGTGGATCCAGACTATTATCTCAGGGGGGAGAGGGGGGGCACTCATAGATTATTTAAAGAAACAATCCAGGCACAATAACCGCTACAGCTCTCTGTAGTGGTTATGGTGCCAGGAGGGCAGTGGCGCCCTCCCAGAGTAAATAGTCAAACGGTTTAAGAACAAACAATTTACCTGGGGTCTGCCAGGATAGGGGCTGTAGTATGGGATAGAGCCTCTACTAGTGTGTGTGTGTATGGGAGGCACTGAGTGTGTGAAGGATGCAGGGTGGGTATGGGAGACAGTGTGTGAGGGGTGCAGAGAGTGTGTGTATAGGGGTGCAGTGGGAGCACTGTGTGTAGGAGTGCCAGTGTGTGTTTGTGTGAAGGGTGTAGTGTGTGAATGGGAGTGCAGTGTGTATATGTGGGGTGCAGTGGAAGCACTGTGTGTATGGGGGCCGGTGTGTGTATGGTAGTGCAGTTGGGGAAGTGTTTGTGTGGGGGAGCACTGTGTGTATGTGGGGGCAGTGTTTTGTATGGGGGTGAAGTGTGTGTGTGGGGGTGTAATGTTTGTGTGGGGGAGCACTGGGTGTGTAGGGGTGCAGTGTGTGTGGAGGAGAAGTGTGTGTGTATGGGGGGCTGTGGGGGCAGTGTAAAAAAATAGTTTTGTTTTTTTTTAAATTAAAATAATATTATTTATAATCCCCCCTCCCTTCCTACCTTTGCCCAGGGAGGGGGGATATTGCTTGTAATTCCTGGTGGTCAGGTGGAATCCCTGGTGGTTCTAGTGGGGAGTGAACTTTAGCCTGCCCCTCATGAGGCTAGAGTTCACTCTTGCGAGAATGGAGCGTTGCCGTGGTAACCACGGCAACGCTCCATTCTCACGAGAGGAGACCCGGTGGAGCTACAAGCTAGAGCGCCTCCCGAGTCTCCTCTCTCTGTCCTGGCTGCCCAGTAATGTGCCTTCGGACCGGAGAGGGAGATCTCTGATGGGACAGTACTGGCCCTGCAGGAGAGAGCATCGGCTCTCGGAGTGGGCAATTGCCCCGTTGCCCCCCCCCCGGATCCGCCACTGCTGTTGTACAGCTGCAAAAAAGTTTTTGTTTTATTTTAAAGTCCTATGAGAACGTTCTTTCACTTTGGAAAAATGATCAGACTAAATTGTGACTTTGCATCAAGACTGAGCCGCTAATTGCTAAGATGTCATTAAATCTCCTGTATTACTGTAATTCCAGAGCATATTATGTGTATGTAGATATACATAAAGTATAAACCGTATAAGCACAATATATGAACAATACTGGCATTTTTAATATAGATGGAAAGCAGGAATATGTAGTATTAGTTGCACAACAGTATTACTGAAATGTCAGCCAGACACACAAGCCTCTCTACTAGTGCACATATTGGTCTGTCAGACAACTGGTCTGTGTGTATCTTTGTATCTGCGTGCCTGTATGCGTATCTGCGTGCCTGTATGTGTATTTATCAGTTCGCTGGGCCTGGGTACTATAACTCCATACACCGTATAGGCACAGACAGGATAGAAAGCCAGAGATAAACTGATAAATGAAAAGCTCTGCATGTGTTAATTACTAAATATAGCAAAATAGTCTGGGCATCTACAGCGAATACAGCCACCTGTTACAGGGAAAGGGGAGGAGGTGAGGAATTGTAATGGTTATAACTATTACTAATAGACTATACCCCCCCCACCACCCAACAAATCCTAAAGAGAACCACACAATATCTCAGCACACACTAAACTGACTAGTGGCAGTTCCACTTTCCTTCAGCCCACGATTAGCATTTACAAGGGTAAGTAAGAAGCCTACTTACCTCCACTGTACTCCCCTATTTTGGCAGCTCCACCTCATTGTGATGCATTGGGTGCGCTTGAGCATCAAACAAAGTCTGTACATAACATGCTTGAAATTCCTTTTTGTTGGACTGTACCCACAATGCACATGCATGCGCGCGAGTACAGGAGTGACACCGACTCCTGGCGCTTCTGAGGATCCGCTGAAAGAAGATGGCAGTGCCTGCGAGGTATAGGTTCAGGTAAGTAAAACTCACCTTTCCCTCACCCCGCCCTCCATGGTCACCCTGATCCCCAGGGTAAACTACACTACACATCTGGCTAGGTACAGAAGCACAACCGCGTGTGGATGATAATGAGAATATTGATTGACGCACTGTCTGCTATTTTCCTCATTGGTGAACTCCCTTGGTAAACTCCTAGGATTCAGGACACTTATTGGAAGTTGGCGACGAATGAATAGTGGCACACAGATGGAATGTGGCCTGTGCTCTCTACGGTCGTATTAACTGGGATCAGAGCCAGAGATTACCTAAATACATTGGGTGCAGGGGTGAGACAGAATGTTCCGTAGTAAGGATTACAATACCTAGGCCTTTACCAACTAATTCTATGACTGTCTGTATTCCGTTCCAATTCTTTCAAGGCACCGAGTTCAGCTTTACTTAAAACATTATTCTGATAATTACTTCTCTTTACTTTTATTTTTATATTTTATTACCATATCTTGAAACATCTCCATCTGTGCTGATATTTGACAAAAAGGGAAGAAAGTGGATTTAAGTTTTGTTACTATGTACGGCATGTACCTTTCTCCTTAGGGGGTATTGTTCACTGTTCGTTATATGCTCTGAGTGGTCCATAGTT